GTCCGTAACTGGAACCTTAGAAACTGGAGGCGAATTTGGTTCAGTGATGACTTACGATTTCTTCTTCACTGGTGAGATGGAAGACAGCGTGCATACCGTCGGAGAAATGAACGTTTGCCCCTAATTGAACTCGACAGGTCGACAGATTCGGTGGAGGAAGTGTCATGGTGTAGGGTACCATATCTAGCACACAAAGAACTGATTTAGTGATGGTTCAGATGAATATGACAGCAAATCGGTACATCAACGCGAAGTCATTGCCAGTCACATGATTCCGATTATGGACCGACAGAAAGAGTTGTTCCAGCATCACAACGCTACTTCACATACAGCACGCGTCACGGCCCGCTACCGTACCAATTCTAAGTCATTGTCTTGCCATGGCCTTCCCGATCACCAGATCTAAACCCAATAGAACACCTATGGGATGAACACGATCGACGTGTTCGTCACCGTCAAAACACACCTCAGACAACTTCCATAACTGGCCATGGCATTTCAGGAAGAGTGGGGAAAATTCCGCAAGAGCGACTTCGTCGACTTATCCAGACTGTCGAGACTATGTAGAGAAGTACTTGTTGACAATGGTGGCCATACAAAGTACTGACTTTGACACCGTCTTGTGGACTCCAGTAAACAGAGACACAACAGTAAGGCTGTTGTGTTGGCGAACTCTTTGTCTATAGACGTGTGAATTTTCACCTTTTTACCATTGAAATTTCATGAAATAATTGCTCATGAAATAAACTAACGCAATAACTTTTTCTAAAAATGGTCTATGCGGTTCTTTTTTTGAAGAGCGTACTTGCTCTTATGTTGTAGAGACGTCCTCAGAATATTTCAAAACATTTTGACCATTTAAATCAGAAATGAATTGACATTGTGAATTTTGCTCTACCCGTAGATTCCTGTGAGACCTATGATACAGTCAAGAGTATCTCACAAGTGTTCGGGCGCGTCTTCACCAAGTACTCCTTTCTTCCAAAGTACAGTCTTTTCTTCTATCGAAATGACATTAACCTGACGTCTCTCAATTCTGATCCTTTGTCAAGCCAAAAACTTCATTCTTGCATCCTGAACATGTCGAACACCTTTGAAGAAAGGCGACTAAAAAATCCTTTCCTTCTTACCCTTCTCGGATTAGAATTGATCTTCAGTAACCCATGCCTGTCGTAACTGGATCGGGCGGTAAGCACTGCTGACTTGGTTAACACGTGTCATCGTATCCCAATTGCGCAGTTCGATGTTGTTGATCACTGGATTGTCTGGTCCTAGAGACCGCCTCCGTAGTGTAGTGGTTAGAGCGTCCGTCCAGAGAGCGCATTGTCGCGGGTTCCATCCCCGACCGCGTCATACCAAAAGACGTTAAAATATGGTACTTGTTGGTCCCTGCCTGGCGCTCGGCATTAATGGGTACAACAAGGACTGGTCGGCTCGGAGTCAGTATAATGTGTCTGAGTGGGGTATCCATGCTTCCCTGCGGCATGGTATCTCAGTGGGCTAGCACTATAAAACCAGCTTAAGTCTGGGCTAGTACAAGCAGCCGCACATACACACACACACGCATGCACGTCGTCATGTGAGCGAAATATTCTCAAGCACGACGTTAAATCCAATTTCACCTCACCTCACCTCTGGTCCTAGACCGCCGCCATATCTAGAACATTGCTGAGTGCGGCGTCAACCAACCAACCAACCAACCAACCTTTCCTTCTGTATAGTATTGTAAATTAGGCAGAATTTCATAAACGTTGTTGCCGCGTTTCTCCTCATTGTATGGTTTCGAAGTTCCATGAAAGTTCAATTTCATTACTTGCCGATTTAACAGCATCAGGGTTAAGGACAGTGTCACGAACCATTCGTGACCCAGTCGTGTTATTCCGTGGCAAACCGAATACTGACTCCATTCGTGTCCCAAGCCGAATACCGACCCTGGAAGGATTTCAAATATGATTTGTTTTCATGAATAGGCAATCAAAACAACGTTTATTTCACCCGTTAGAAGTCCCAAAATAGGTACACAAAGTACGTTTAAAATAATTTCAAACTGAAGAATGCGTGGAGAGTACAACATGATTTTATGTACGGGATGTCTACCAGTTTTCTGAACCTGCACGTAAAACCTTGCTGTCATAAACCTGGTGAAATATAAAATGAATCTGTTGCCAAAAATATGGACCCCGCGGAACGTCAGATTAAAATATCCCCATGCAGTGAAGTGAAATGTAAGCACAGTGTTTAAGATTCAAGTTGATTAGTTATATACTCAAAGCCAAAAGTATATTTGTTTGTATAGACGAGAACATTTTTATAACGCATTTTAATATTTTTTATAATACACTTAATCCATAACCCAAACAGGGTCCTGTCGGTAGTTTTTGTTTTGCATGCGTTTTTCGTGCTTTCAAGAACTCCATGGAAAAAAGCCATAAACATGCCCTTTAAAAAGTGTGGCTCTAAATCTCGAATCATTGCCACCCCAAATCATTGTTTAGACGTCGACAGGTCTGAAAAACACAAATCTGGAAGAATCTGCTTGTATTTCTGCCACGGCTAACTGAAAAAGTAGATGGCGAGCCATTGGAATGCGTGAAACCAGAAGACCCCAACGCAACGTTGCACATCAGTTTTACGTACACAGGAACTCCATATGCCGCTTGAGGAGACGTTATCAACAAAACGACGTCGTTGCAGACCGTCCACGAAGTGGCTGTCCACCTGTAACCACGCCACGCAATGATCGTTGCATTCGAACCACCTATCTGCGGTTCGAGATTCCAACCAGCCACACTGACCCCCCAAACAGTTCCTGGTGTCAACAGGATATCGCCAAGGACCATTCGCCGACATTACGTCATCAACGTCTACGACTGCTGTGGTACAGACAACATCTGCGGTGAAGAGCACGTGAGGGGGGACATGTTCTCTTTATTGACGAGTCCAGATTCATCTTGTACCGGATAGCCGAACCCCCTTTTTTGGGGGTGACGTGGTGCGCGTTATGTTAGGAACTGTGTCCTTGAGGTCGACTGTTTTGGCAGGGTGGAGTGATGGTTTAGGGTGGGATAACGAGTCCTAGACGTACACCTTGGCTTCCACAGATATGGAATGCCATTCCACAAGACTTCTTGCGACGTTTGATTGGCTCTGTGAGGCGCAGGTGTCAAACATGCACCAGTGCTCATGGTGGACATACGTTATTGATTGTGTGAATTTCATTTTGACCGTTCTCTCACTGTGTCCTCATTAGCATGTGTCCGCCAGAAAAGTTTAAAATGTACCATTTGCAGTCATATTGTGGAATGATTTTCTTGCAATATTAAAAATGTCTCATCAGAAAAATATAAGTTGTTAAATCACATTATCTAACTTCAAGTCAAGCACAATAACTTTTGCCTTTAAGATAGTACAGCTATTTATAATAACATTTCCTAAAAATGTCATAAAGCGCACGTAAAATCTCGAACTCATGCCCGCAGGACGAACACACTCAATTAATCTCTCGCCTTTCATGGCCCTATCCTTGTTACAAGTTAGGCAACACAATTCTTTCCGCTATGTTCTTTGTAATGTCAAAATGACGATGTATATTTTTTCACGATTATTACACAATCACAAAATGCAATAACCGATGTTACAAGCACTCGGGATATTTTTCAAGTACCTCAATTCTTCCACGCATTCTGATTAGTTTGTCGTATTTTCGCTCATACCTTTCATCGATTGGGGGACGAGACGTCTTGGAGGTTACGGAAAGTTGCCAGTGGTGATGAATGTGTCACGAACCTTCTTGCCCTGCATTTCTTACGCCCATGTTTGAAACACTTTTTAATATTGGTGGAGGCGTGGTAGCCTTGTGGTTAAAGCGTTTGCTCTTCATGGCGAAGACCCGGGTTTGATTCCCCACGTGGGTACAATGTGTGAAGTCTATTTCTGGTGTCGTGATGTTGCTGGGATATTGCTAAAAGCGGCGTAAAACCATACTCACTCACTCACTTTTAACTATTGGCCCCTGGGTTATGTGAAAATGCGCAGCTGCAGAGATCTTCCACTTCAATGCTTGAATCTCAAACGACTGAATCTGGAACCAGCAAGAGATGTTTGAACTTCGTACTGGACGGGAGTCACTCTTTGTGATGCCCACTTAGAGAGCAATTGACGTTCAACTGATCAATGAGCAACTGGTCAAACAAACACATACTCGTGATGCAGTCAGAATTCAATCGACTCGTGAAGATCCGGTTAGAATTGGTCTTCAGCAACCCATGCTTGTCTCCCTTGAAGATCCGGGTTAGAACTGGTCTTCAGCAACCCATGCTTATCTCCCTTGAAGATCCGGGTTAGAATTGGTCTTCAGAATCCATGCTTGTCTCCCTTGAAGATCCGGGTAAGAATTGGTCTTCAGAATCCATGCTTATCTCCCTTGAAGATCCGGGTTAGAATTGGTCTTCAGAATCCATGCTTATCTCCCTTGAAGATCCGGGTAAGAATTGGTCTTCAGCAACCCATGCTTATCTCCCTTGAAGATCCGGGTTAGAACTGGTCTTCAGCAACCCATGCTTGTCTCCCTTGAAGATCCGGGTTAGAATTGGTCTTCAGAATCCATGCTTGTCGTAAGAGGCGACTAACGGGATCGGGTGGTCAGGCTTGTTGACTTGGTTGACACATGTCATCGTACCCGAACTGCGTAGATCGATGCTCATGCTGTTGATCACTGGATTATCTGGTCCAGACTGGATTATTTACAGATCGCCGTCACAATATAGCTGGAATATTGCTGAGTGTGGCGTCAACAACCAACCAATGTCAGTCAGTATTGCCTGCTTTGAATAAAATGTTGATTATTTCATGACATATTTTGAACGACAGCATCATGTGACATTTCACCAACATAAAACTGATACATCTTTTACGAAAAACTCAAACGACACGTTTGGCATAACATAAGTCATAAAGATACGCTCTAGTCTGCGTTATAATCCAAACAATGTAGACGGAAGATTTTGGTAATATACTAAACACAAGACGGAAACGTCACGTACAATGCCGTCCGGTAATTCCACGCACCTAAGCAAATCGATCGCAACACGACAACTAACGTCTCTTATTTTGTGTGGTTTACGTGACTAAACATGCTGGTATGCATAATATTTACCAAGAAATATAAGTTTTATTGACTATAAGATTCTAACGTTGCATTATGCCATACAGTTGACCTTACAGCCGTTCTGACGACATCGCTTGCTGTCCAGTAATTCTGCGCAGCAACTGATGCGCATAACATCCAGCTGGAGATCCGAAGTATGGAAGCGTATTAGGGCAAAATTATTTTCAAAAATCACTTCATCAATGTAAGGAAGAGTGTTTCATATCAAATCCAATTATGAATAATGAAGAAAAAGGTTTAAAAGTCTGAAGAAAACGAATTTTCATAAAACTGTCAATTTATCTGTCAATTGCTGTTATTAACTTACCTTTAGTGGTTAAAAGCCAGTCCCTTGTAGAAATGTCCCGATTTCAAGCGTAAATGTGGTAGCAGATGATGTTTACCTTCGATACGGAAGTACGCTATTGCAACTACGCAGAATTAACGGCCGCGCGGAATTACCGGCCTCGCTTGTATGTTAATTTAATGTCCTAAACATACCCATATAGATCAACGTGTTCTGCTAGTAGATAAATCCTGTGTGTGGACGTTATGAGTGTACACTCTTACAGAATTAGGCATTAAAGGGCAGGTTTACACAAAAATTAAGCTTTTTGTCCTGCACTATTTAAGCATTAAAAGTGTTTGTCAAGCATTCTCAAAGCCCAAACAGTACAGATATCATAAGTAAGTAATTTACTTTTGTATTATATCGATTCATATTTTGCACATTTATCGACAGTTCTATGACCACAATAAACACACCATGGCTTATGTTCCTTGCAAATGACGTCATTGGCGCCCAACTTATAAACGAATGACGTCATTATACACTATTTGACCCATTTCACGTGGTGCAGATATAGGTGTGGTTCTTGTGTCTTGATGCACTGGCTACTGTTTTAACCCTCTTGTTGCCTTGGCTGTCAGTTGGCTTTGTGTACCGATCCGTTCCACACTGTAACGGCACGATTGACTTAGGTAAGATTGGTTAGTGGAACGATGTGCCGATCGTAACGTCACGCTAAGATTGGGATTTTAGGGGTTTACGATTGGCATAGGGCTAAGATCGGTTAGTGGAACGGCACCCAGGTGGCCCCAATTTCTCGAAACAAACTTAAGTCTGAGTTTTGACTTAAGTTTGAGTTTTTAATCAAATTTGAGAAAACGCATTTCCCAGAATGAACTGAAATCGATATTAAACTCAAATATAGCAGACAATTTGAGTTTGGTGAATAGATTACTTAAGTTATTTGGGCGAAAATGCAGCCGAGTTAAAATTTCAGCTGTTTCAAATTGTCAAACTCAGTATGAAATTTGAGAAAAACATAAATTTGTTTCCAGAAATCGGGGCCTGAGCGTGTAGCTTCAGAGCTTCCAGAGTACCTTCAGCAAAACTGTCGTTTAACATACAAAACATAAATCGAAACAAGAAGACAAGAGAATAACAAACAAACAATCAATAACTCAAATTTCAGTTACGTAAGGGGGCGGTGGGGTAGTCTAGTGGTTAAAGCGTTGGCTCGTCACGCCGAAGACCCGGGTTCGAATCCCCACATGGGTACAATGTGTGAAGCCCATTTCTGGTGTTCCCCCGCCGTGATGTTGCTGGAATATTGCTAAAAGCGGCGTAAAACCAAACTCAGTCAGTCAGTCAGTCAGTTACGTAAGTCAATTTTAGCAGATACTAAAAGTGCCACAAAAGACCAAATGTTTGTTAGTCTTAAATAATCGTGTTTGCGTGGTCCAATAAGACAGTTATATGATCGATCAAGTAATAAGTACTGCTGATCTGCAATTTTAAAACCAAATAAACGAATCGTGAAAATACTCGCGATCAATCGATAAATGTTAATAATTTTCGCACCAACGTAAGTGTTTATGTTTTGTAATGTTGACAAATTTTGTCTTCAAACAAATGGTGAGAAGTCGTTCTAATTATCGTCTGTAGTGTAATAGTAAATCGTGAAATATATTGATCATATGCAAGAAACCTATCTTTTTCAAGGAAATTGTTATATCTCACAAGTCACTGAGGAAGTACAAATCATGTTTGCTGCTTTTTATACAGGAAAAGTACTCGATTATCAGAGTTCTCCTGAACAGACTGTAAGTGGCCAGTCAAATAACAGTTGTAACTGATATCGTGGCTTATTTGGAATCTGGGGCCATAGTTTGTGTCAGTTACATCCTTGTTAGAATTTCAGTACATTGACGTCAATTCGTTCTTTGAAAATTCTACTGATCAAGAGACCCTTTCCTCGTTCCTGTTACTGAACATTTCATAATTTGCACATTTCAGTAACAGGAATGTCGTAAGAGTATATTACCCTTCTGTACACGATTGAAAACAAACGATAATTTGTCGAAGCAATGACACTTTGGTCACAACTAAATGTTTATGGCACATCGTTTGTTAGCAATAACCCGACATGACTGTTCGTAATAGCGTGACAAGGGTGTTCAGACGAGTCGACATGAGTTAAAACAATTATGAAAATATAGGTGTTAGCTATTCGGTAATTCCCGACACTGCTCTACGTCTTAATTTAAATGTCGAATTTTACTGGGAGGATTGAATTTGAACAAGGTCACCAAAATCGACTGGTGTCTGTGTAATCCCGAAATGTAGGCTGTCACCAAATTTGAAAACATTGGGTACAACAGTTCATGAGAAATCGCGTTAACAAGTGTTTAAAAAGTGGTCAAAGTGGCTTGGTGACCTTGAAGATAAGGTCAAGGTCACCATAATCGACTGGTGTCTGCGTAATCCCCCAATGTAGGATGTCACCAAATTTGGTACATTTGGTACAATAGTTCCTCGAGATATTGCGTTAACAAGAATCTGGACGTACGTACGGACAGACGCTGTTGAATACATATTCACCCGTTCCGCGTTGCGATGGGGGACAAAAAAACCCAAAACGTTTGATGGTGATCACCGGTATCTTTGCTGTTGTTGTTTGATCGAATAACCAGCGGTCATTCTGCATCTTGCCATATTGCAGACTGTTTATAAAAACTCGTCACACGTATCGGTTGTGTTTCGCCCATTACATCACAGCTATAAGTCAGTGTCAGGTTCCCGACACGAATCCCTGAATTCCTCATCAGAGGCGGATCCAGAGCGGCAATCTCTGAAGACGCGGATTCGATTCCCCACATGGGTATAATGTGTGAAGGCCATTTCTGGTGTCCCCCGTCGTGATGTTGCTGAAATATTGCTAAAAGCTGCGTAAAACCATACTCACTCACTCATTTAGGACCTTGGTATGACTTCCTCAAAGGTCACTTCACAAACAAAACTGACGCTTCTCAGTCAAAACGGACTTCTCAATTAGTTCAGGGGGTTGAAACCTTAAGGATTCAGTGAACCAAACCGCCATTGATCAAACGGTCAGGCTCGGTGGCCAGGTTTGACTGAGTCTCATTACAATCGAATCTTTTGTCTGTCTGCCTGAATGTCTCCAGTGGACGTTGACGTCGTGATCGATGGATCGATGCTCATGAGGTCAATCATCCACCAGGTAGTTTGTTCAATACTCCATTAATTACAGACCTCCGCCATGTCCCGAATACTGCTAAACGTAGCGTAAAACAATAAACAAGAGATTCAAAAGATTCGCTCTGAGGGGATGATAAATGGCTGAGTGAAGCAATCATGTGAAACGTCTGACCAATGTGTGTGTAAATATACATAGTATTTTTGTACTGTATACTTTGTCTGGTTTATTAAAAGACCCGACCTTGTGTTTTTAGGTATTGAATCGAGTCTCCATCTAATATACTAAACATCATTGAAAACGCACCACCTGTATTAGTTTGGATTTCCAAGGGCATAAATGAGCAGTCGGTGTAAATTTTACATACTTTTGTAGTCCAATGATTGGTAAAGAAAAGAAACAAGAACCAATCCATCAAAACAGTGAAGTTTTAATTCAGCTGACCATGAAAGAAAGATGGAGTCAAATTGGAAAGTCAGTAACGTGTATGACCACCGTAAGCAACACAAGCTGTGCAACGTCTCTTCATTGAACTGATAAGTCTCTGAATAATGTTTTGAGGCAATGCATTCCACTCTTGTTGCAAGGCATTCTCAAGTTCCCCAAGGTTGTTGATCTATGAGAGGCGTTGGCCGATGTAATCCCACAAGTGTTCAATGGGAGACAAATCTGGTGACAATGCAGGCCATGGAAGTAACACGTGCAGTGTGCGCTCGAGCATTGTCCTGCTGGAATGTGTGCAGATCTTGATGTTGGTTAAAGAAGGGAACGACGTTGTTCTGAAGAATGGTGTCACGGTAGTAAAGAGCATTCCCTCTGCCACGACAAACTACCAGAGCGGTTTTGTGATGATAACTGATCATTCCCCACACCATAATGCTGCCTCCACCCCACCGATCTGTTTGCACAACACAGTCCTGATGGTAACGTTCTCCCCGTCGACGCCATACCCGTAGACGCCCGTCAGCATTTCGCAAATGAACACGTGACTCGTCGGAGAACACAACACCATGCCAACGTTGTAACAACCACAAACGATGCTGTTCAGCCCATCGTCGACGTTCACGGCGATGTCTATCAGTCAAGATGGGTCCAACATAATAAGGGCGTCGACACCGTTATCCTGCCGCACGGAGACAGCGTTGGACGGTGGAAGCACTGATCAAACCACGTCGGCCTTGGACAGCGTTGGCGGTTCTGGCAGCCGGCAACGTACGATCCCGAATATGGCGCCGAACAATGTCTCGATCTTGGCGAGGGGTGGTAACACGTTCCTGGCCAGGACGTTGACGGTCCCTGGTGGTTTCTGTTTGTTGGTACCTGTTGGCAAGTCTTATGATGGTGGAATGATGGCAACCAAATCGTCTGGCAATAATCCTGCTTGATGTGACAACCTGCAACATGCCCAACGCCCGTTCTCGTTCCTCTGGTGACAATCTTGGCATTGCAAAATAAACTTTACTTGCGGAGGTACAGCTAAAATGAGACGGTCATTTATACTCCTAACCAGCATGTTTTACACATGCAATTTGTGTGTGTGTGTAGTGCATGAATTTTGTTGTTGTCATGTGATGTGTTCCATGATGTGTTCGGGCTTTACTGTACAGCATTATTTATTGTCTTTTGTGTTATTAACAACATTTCCAACGTTCATATTCACTCTCAAAACAATCCTATTATCATATTTCAAAATTTACAGGTGGTGCGTTTTCAATGATGTTCAGTATATATTCATCTGAGTGGTGAATAAATAAGGTGGCAGACATCAGTCAATATAGTCAATATCACACCATCTAGATAAATATCAGAATCAACCAGGACATTATTCTTCACAAGGTATATATTGAACTGTGGGTGAAAGTCTGGAAATAAATAAAGGAACACTTGTACTTTCATGTGTTCCCTTATTCGTTGCTATGAGTATATATATGTTGTTAGTTTGTGGTGGTCGTGGTGGCGGTAGTGGTAGTGGCGGTAGTGGTGGTTGGAGGTGGTTGAGGTGGTTGTAGTGGTTGTCGTGGTGGTTTTGTAGTGGTAGTGGTGGTCGCGGTGGTCGTGGTGTTGTAGTGGTAGTGGTGGTCGTGGTGGTAGTGGTTGTCGTGGTGGTAGTGGTGGTCGCGGTGGCGGTGGTGGTCGTGGTGTTGCGGTGGTAGTGGTGGTGGTGGTGGAGGTGGGCGGTCGTGGTGGTTGAGGTGGTAGTGGTCGTGCTGGTGGTTCTGGTCGTGGCGGCCATGGTGGTTGTGGTGGCCGTATCGAGTGACTAGTTGTTGCTGGCTGTCGTGGTGGTTGAGGTGGTCGTGCTGGCGGTCGTGGTGGTTGTGGTGGCAGTGGTGGTGGTTGTGGTGGCCGTGGTGCTGGCTCGTGGTGGTTGTTGGTGGTATCGAGTGGTAGGTTGGTGGTCGTGGTGGCGGCCATGGTGGTCGGGTGGCCGTATCGAGTGACTGGTGGCTGGTCGTGTGGTGGCCGTATCGAGTGACTAGTTGCTGGCTGGTCTGGCTGGTTGTGGTGGTTGAGGTGGTAGTGGTTGTCGTGGTGGTTGTGGTGGCAGCAGTGGCGGCCATGGTTGTTGTGGTGGCCGTATCGAGTGACTAGTTGCTGGCTGGTCGTGGTGGTTGAGGTGGTAGTGGTTGTCGTGGTGGTTGTGGTGGCCGTATCGAGTGACTGGTGGCCGTAGTTGCTGGCTGGTCGGTGGTCGTGGTGGCCGTATCGCGAGGTGGTTCGAGTGACTAGTGGTGGTCGGTGGTTGTCGTGGTGGTGCTGTGGTGGCCTGGTCGTGTGGTTGAGGTGGTATCGATCGAGTGACTAGTTGCTGACTAGTTGCTGGCTGGTCGTGGGCCAACATTTACAGAGCAATCTTTAATCACAA